AATTGCGTAACGAAACGTTCGATTGAAAAATCTCTCTGTGTGGGTGATTTCTGCTGAAATTTAAGTCCTAAATTCTCCTTTTGTTCTCTAGGGTGGAGGGCAGGACCTGGTACACATCTCATAGAGGGCGGTTATGGATTGCAGCTACTGCTAAAAGACCTTCCCCTCAGGAAATCTCTGAACTGGAGACCACCTACAGAATGCTGCTCCAGAAAGGTGAACTTCTCTCCTTGGATCTTTGTATTATTTGGTACATTGAGCCACGTAATGAGCAGTGTCAGAAAGCTCTCTCTGCCGAGCAGTTATTACTGCTTCGCTTTTCAACCTTCTGTTCTTGAAATTCTCTTCATCCTTTCCACATTTTGTCAGCCGAATGAGTATGGTGGCAGACTTTAACTCCATCCTTTAGCTGGTCACGTACTCCAAGCACAAACACCGTCAAATTGCACCTGACTTCTGTGATAGCTTTTGACAGCAAAGGACTTCATTTTATTCTTGGCTCAAGCAACAAGCTATCGAGTGTGTGCTTGCGTGCGTGTAAGTGGCTTGTGCTTCAGTCTGTTTACAGTGATGTTAAAGGCTTTTCATGTATTCTGACCTCATGGAAATCGGGATTGAAAAGCTGCAGGTTCTCAGGAAGGTGTTATTCTCTCACGTGGGTAGGAGGATGCTGGTGGCTGCACTGCACACCTCTTTGTGCGGTGCTTCTGCACGTCACCCAGCTTAAATGTCATACAGCAGGATTGCCTGCTCCCTCATCAGGGCAAGGAGCTCTTCCTGCACTATATGTTCCCCTGTCAGAAGCTAAGCAGGGAAAGGTGTATGTGTAACTAAATCTCCCAACCTTAGTCCTGTCACGGTGAAGATCCTAGGCTGGAAAAAGAACAACAGGGTGTTAAAATTGCTGTGTGTTTTCTTGTGCCTCAAAAAGTAGAAGTGCATGGTGGGAGGGAAAGGCACCTGGGGGTTAGAAGACCCCAGCTATGTGTGTGGGGATGTGGGCCCGCTTCAGAGGTGTTTTTTTCAATGCAGATGTGGAATTTCCCAGCGATTATCCCTCAGGGTGCCTCCTGGGCTGTGTGGAAGTGACCGATTGTTTATCGCAAGAGCAATTTAATGAGCAGGTGAGTACAGCAAATAAAGCTTTACAAATTTGCATTAGCCAGCAAACTTCTAAAGTTGTGTAACTTACCTCCATGAGATGCTCTAGAGAAGACATTGAATAGACATTTTAGGCTGTATTGAGAGAAGACACAACTACTACGTGGTCTGGTGTGGCTAGAAAGAGAATGTACTGAGAAAATGCATTTCGGTAATGGTGGAAGGAAGCAGTGGATTAATACAGCCTGAATCCATCATCAGCCTCTCTGGCAGTGAGGTAGTTTCGTTGCAACTAGTTTCTCTCATACGCTAAAACTCTTTTCAATAAGGACTCACACCTGTTCAATTAAACCAACGCTAGCTTGAGAGACCATGCTGCAAGGGCTCATGACAGTCATTGCTTCCTTTGCTGCATGGATGGATGTGCATCGGGATGCTGTGGCTGTGCTGGACTGTGGAAGACAGGAACCTACAATGCGTTAATGTTGCATTTCAAGTTTTCATCCTCATTTGGCAAACTTGGGACCTTACATCTTACCTTGGTGTGACTTCTAAAGTGCTGATCATTTCTCTTACAGAAACTGCATGGGGTCATAATAGAAAAGAATTGCTCCAAGTTTTGCCCAGCCAGGCAGCAATTTTTTGCCACTTCTGGGTATAACTATGCTGATCTTCCGATCTCAAGGAGGACTCTGGATTAGGAGGGCTCAAGTACCCGTTTGGCTGCTTTTGGAGGGCAGCAAACAACTCCCTTGAGTGCAGCCAGCAGAGACGTTGCAGTTATTGCACTGATCTGTGTGGTAGATGGGATAGAAGGGGGCTGGAAACTCAAGACAGTGTGGAAACGTGGAATACGCTGCAGCAAGTTGGACCTTGTACCAGCAGGACCAACTACTCTGATCTAAGAGAGGGTAGCTTGGCCCAAGCAGAGGCATCTAGGTGCATAGCTGCTGGAACTGCCTAGTGCTTATTCCTGGAGCTGGAGGTCACAGTGACCCCACTGTTGAGACTTGTGCTCTGGTTGGGGCACCGAGTCACCAGGAGGAGCTATGGGAGGAGGTGAGCACCCTGCCACCAGGGAGGATGGACAGTAGAGCTGCAAGGTCATCATATAGACCCTGCAGAGAAGACCTCCAGAGCCCCTAGGTACAGGGAAGGAGGGACAGCTGGAGATTACAGTGGGTCAAGGGAGGTTTGAGTGCCCTTTTGCTGAATGAGGCAGGTGATTTGGTGACTAGGGACACAGATAAGGTTGAGATGCTGAGACCTTCTTTGCCTCAGGCTTCCCCAACAGGATCTCCCAGAGATCTTGTGTCTAGAGGCAGGGTTCAAGGAGGAGAGGGACTACCTGTAGCAATGGGAGTTTGAATCAGAAGTCTTTTGAGAAATCTCAACCCCTACAAGTTCATGGGTGCTGATGGTGTGCATCCAAATGTGCTGAGAGTGTTAGCAGATGTCTTTGTGAGGCCACTCTTACCTTGGAAAGGTTATGGAGATCAGGAGAGGACCCTGATAACTCTAAGAGGGTGACTATTATATCCATCATTAAAACGGGAAGAAGGATGATCTGGAACATTTCAGGCCAGTCAGCTTCACTTTGGTCTCTAGGAAATTCATAGAGCGATTCCTCTTGGAAGCCAGTTTTGGACACATGGAAGAGGAGGACACTGGGAATAGCCCATGTGGATTTACCTAGGGATGCAGTCATGCTTGACTAACCTGATTGCCTTCTGTGATCCAGTAGTTAGTGTGGTGAATATCTTTTACTTTGTATTTAGCAAGGCTTTTAGCCTACAGCATGCATGCATCCTAGGTGAGTCATTGTAGTCTGGGTAGGTGGACTTCTAGGGCTGACAGCTGGCTGAGTGATTGGACTTCAAAATGCAGTGGCGGTTAGCTTGTAACCTCCTTGAGGCTGGTTACAGGTGGTGTTCCTCAGGGCTTTTTCATTGGACTTCTCCTGTTTAATACTTCTAGCAATGACCTGGAGGGGGAGATGGAGTGAGTTTTCAAAACACAATGAGTTTTCAAATGCTGCTTTTGGGAGAAGCAGTGGGTATGCTCAGCAGCAGGGCTGCCAGAGGAACCTCGACAGGCTGGAGGAAAGGCTGGACATGATATTCCTGAAGGCCCAACACCAAACCCTGCACCTGGGGAGGACTAACCCCCCGGCATTGGTGCTGGGGAGCGTCTCTGCTGAAGAGGCACTGGGGATCTTGGCAGCCAGTGGGCTGAATGGGAGCCCTGGCAGCAAGGAGGGCTGGCGGCACGATAGTCCAGCGTGGCCCAGTGTATTCCTCTTTGCTCAGCATTGGTTAAACCACATCTGGAATACTGTGGTCACAAAAAAAGATGTTGATAAACTGAATTGAGTCCAGTGGAGGCCACCAGGATGCTTGGGGGTTGGAGCATATGCCCTGTGAAGAGAGGCTGGGGAGAAAGAGTGACCTTCTGCTTCGTGCAAGGAGCTTATAGAGAGACAGAGCCAGGCTCTTTCCCGATGTACATGAAAGACAAGGGTCATAAATTGAAAGAGGAAGGCTTCAGTGTGACTGAAGAAAAAATTCCCCATGAGGACAGCCGAGCAGCAGAGCAGGCACTGCCCAGAGGGGTTGTACAGTCTCCACCCATTAAGATTTTCTAGACCCAACAGGACAAAACCTTGAGCAACCTTGCCTGAATTCAGTGTTGACCTTGCTTTGATTGGGAGGTTGGACTAGAGACCTCCTGAGGCCTGAGTCTGTGATGCTGTGACTGACTCCATGCCCAAAACCTGGAGCAGCGGCTTTCCTTGGGATGTATTAACTTACAAAACCTGTGCTTAGTACCGAGCGCAGCATGGCTGTTCTCAATACCGTTTCATGTCTAGTCACTCCACTGCCCCTTGTACAAGTCAGGTTTGGTCTGAAGGGAATCGCCAGACCATGTAGGGCTTGCTAGTGAACCAAGACCATCTTATGAGACGGAATAAATAGCTTCCTTGGGACAGAGGAAGAGGACACCCCAGGCTGGTGGGCATCTTCTCGCCCTGAAGAGTTGGAGAAGCAGCAGCAGCTGGGGGCTGTTTCTCATGAAGTGCTCTTCTGGCTTTCCCAGCCCCTGTGAGGTTTTTTAGCAGAGAGACACGCCTGGGAGCTGGTGATGAAGAGAATATTTATGATGAGGTTGTATCTCTTCTCAGTTGTGTGAGGGAGGGGGAGAGGTTGGAATATGAGCAGCAGAGGGAGCTTTGGGACTGGAATACAATGAAATCTGCAGGAGTGTTTGGCCTTGAAAGGGAGCAAACTGGGGCCAGTGTAGGGTTTTTTTTTTCCCCTGTAGCATCCACTAATTTACAGTTTGGTTTTAAATGGAGAATCTCATCCTTCTTATTGGTGGAAAAATATGTCCTGGTCTCTTGCAAGTACTTTTCTCTCACTAACAATTCCTCCCTTCTCCTTTGTGGATATGTTTTTCAGGCATTGGTAAAATGGCTGTGACAGCTTCTTACAATCTGGGAACTGTGGGTAGCTGTAGGTAGGAAGCTTTTTCCCACAGAGGAGCCTCACACTTAGCTGTGTTCTCTGTAAACTCCTCCCGGTTTGCTGGCACCGCTTGGACGCAGAGACGCGTGAGGAAGAGTAGTGTATGCCAGTAGCACTGCTATCAGACCTATAGGTGAGAGATTTACCTCTCTTCTCAAATGCCACGATGCCGTGGCACCTCCCAGTTTCTCTCTCACTGGCTTTTTGCTGCTCCCATATGGCAAACTTTATAATTCCCAATTTCTTGCCTTTTTACAGTGGTTTGGTCCATTTTTTTCCCCAGGCTCGCATAATGCAGTTTATTTCCCTAGCTTGTAAGATTGTATTCAGAGATCTGAGCACCCTTCTGAAGCTGTTTTGTGAGGAAATGTATGTTTTTTGTGGACCATCATGAGCAGCAAGTGCATCTGAAGGAAGCTGAGATTAATTTAATTGTGAATGCTAGCAAGATGAAAAAGTGTGCAGCGCCAGCTCAGAAATCTGGGCTGGATCTCGCTGGGAGTAGGAAATCCCTGTTGCTCACGCTGATGATTCAGCCCAGGTTCATCAGCAGCCAGCACCGAAGCCACTTGTCAGCGGTGTAATCCAGCCATTTTTTGGTGTACAAAGACTCCTCCTCACTTCAGGGAGAGAGGGAAAGGAAGATGTGTTTTCACCACTTACGGCACGCAAAAAACATTGAATATTTTCTAAAGATCTGCAGTATATTGGCAGGTAAGGTTAATGAGATGCAGCAGCAGAGACCTCTCGGAGATGAAACCACCGCAGAGCTCTTTTCCGGCACTGTGCTTTGACTCACACCTCTCCTCTGTTACTGACTTGCATTTGAAGCTTCTGCATTTTTTGGGAGAAATCATTTCACAAATGCAGGGCAAGGCACATTTGCAGATTATACCCACCACCTGAAGATCAAGTAGCTCCCTGTCTTGCTCATTGTCTTTTGATGGTGGCCCTGCCTTTTTCAGCAGCCGCAGAAGTTTGTTTTGACTCTTGTGACCATTTCTTCCCATAGGCGAGGGAGATTCTTCCTGGTCTGTCCCTCCTGCGACTTTTCTATTATTTCTCAGTCCTTTTGATGCTGTCATCCTCTCCCTCTTTAGTACTGTCTGCAGATTTAATTTCCGTGCTGTTTGCATCCTCTCTCAGGTTGCTAATGAAGATGTTAGTGGCACCCTGCTGGTATTTTTCTATCATTATCCTCGTTTAATTTTTTTTTTTTTTTTTTGGTGCTCAAAAAAAGAGAATCAAGCAATGATGCCCCATTTTGCTGGATGCTGCACCAGCAGACTCAGAGACCAAGTCCCTGCCCTGAGCGCTTGCATTGCTATTAGGGACCGGTTATTTATCTGCATTATTACTGGATGTGTAAGTCTGGCTTTGCGTAACCCCTTCATTGGGGTCAGTCTTGTAGCTCAGCCCTACGTACAGTTTTTGAAGACCAACTGACGTTGTTGAAGTGGTTTGCAGATCTTCAGGGCCCTGTGAGAAGTGATGACAGA